GCCTCCCCGGCTGGCCCCGCCCCAGGCCCCGCCCCTCCGCGTCACAGAGTCGCCGCCCCGCCCCGCGGGCCTCCGCGCTCCGGCACCCCAGCTGCTTCTGGGTTCGGCGCGTTCCGTCCCCGGCCGGCAGCTGTCGTTGTATCCCGTCCCGGGCTTCCACTCCGTGCTCTCGTCCCCCCCACGCGCTCTTTCCTTTCCCCGTCGGGCCGGGAGGGACCAGGGGTTGTGCCCGCGTGCATATTTGGGGTTGACTTTATCTAGTTTTATTTTTTTTTTGCGGAACCGGGCATTGAACTCAGATCCTTGCGTTTGCCAGTCAAGCGCTTATCCTACTGAGCCATCTCCCCGGCCCCTAGTTTTATTTTTTGCTAGGGTCTTGCTACATAGTTCAGGCTACACCCGAACTGTTAGCCCCGGCTGGCCTCCGACTCTCGACGACCCTCCTGCCTCAGCCTCCGGACTGCTGCGATGACAGGCGTGCACCACACGCCCGGCTTGGCGGTGAAGTCAGGCAGAGTTGGAAAGGGAAACACCCCGTTGTCCCCAAGGGTCCTCAGCTTCCCCACCGTGATTGCCGCCCCCGCCCGCTGCACAGATCCGGCTTGCCAGCGCAGCTGCGTAAGCTGCGGCTAGACAGGCCTTTCCCTGCATGAGTAGTTGCAGGACCTACAATGGGGTTTACTCGAGGAAGTTTCTTGTATCGCTTGTTGCATGCATGCTTGGTAAGACTGGGAAGAGGAGAAGGCATAAAAACACTTAAAGCTGAAATGCTGTGACTTTCAGCTTTGAAAAGCAACTTGAATCTGGGTAACAAAGGAGTTGCTGAACCAACGTATTTTTTGATGTTTTAGATACTCTTGTCTTGGATTTGAATGGTGAGAGTTTTGTGTACTTTTAAAAAGTTTATGGGAGCAGGGGCCGGGGAGATGGCTCAGTGGAATAAGCTCCTGAGTTCAAACCCCCGTACAGAGAAAAAAAAAAAAAAGTTTATGTTGGCTTATTCAAATGTCGAACAATGAACTCACGTGAAACTAGCTAGACTACATTTCTGTCAGGGCTTGAAGTCATTTCCTTGTGATGTTAATGGAGAAAATAAAACTCGTTAGCTCTTAATGTGGCACAGCATGTTCCAAATGACTGGTATTTGAATTTTGTTTTTTCTTCTTCCCTACTGGGGATTGAGCCGAGAGCCTCTGTTAGCGTTCCTCGCCCTGTAAAAAGGTTTTCTTTCCCTTTTCTCTTCCTCCCTTACCCCCTCTTCATTCCCTAGCTCCCCTTTCCTTTTGAACATTTCATCCTGTTGCCCAGTATCTTTTGTACATTTGGGCCCTTATTTACACTTTGTTTCTCATACCAGAGAAACAATGATGTATTTACACCCGTGTTCAGATTTACTTCACGTGAAGGGGCAGGGCCAGGTGCATCCATTTACCTAGAAATAGCCTAAGTTTTTCTTTATGGAAGAGTAGTACTCCACTGTATTTTTTCCCATCATTTTTGCCACTTTTCCCCCCCTTTTTTTTGTATTTAGGACAGGATGTACAGAGTCTCACTGCATAGATCCATAGATCGGACTCGTAGTTGATCCTCCTGTTTAGCCTCCCAAGTGCTGGGATAGCAGGCTCACGCCACCACGCCCAGTCTCAATCGCTGTCTCAGCATGCCCCAGGGACAGGGCCGGCATGGCATGCCACTTGTTTGTTTTAAAGAAAAGAAGGGGCTGGGGAGATGGCTCAGTAGAATAGGCGCTTCCCTGGCAAGCACAAGGGCCTGAGTTCAATCTTCGGGTTCCACCAAGAAAAAAAAAATCAATTTCTGCTAGGGGTGGGGCGATAGCTTGCCCGTCTAAGTGCCTGCCTGGCAAGCACAAGGACCCAGGTTCTATCACTGTGCTGGCCCCGGGCCCCTGGGCACACCATGCGAGCCACCAAACCCAGGAGTGGTGGCACAGGCCTGTAGCCCCAACGCTGGGGAGGCTGAGACAGAAGGATCACTGCACGTCTGAGCTGCATAGTGAGACCCTGTACCAAATAAATAAATAAATATTTTTTAAAAGGGGGGGCAGGGAGATGGCTCAGTGGAATAAGTGCTTAGCACAAGGGCCTAAATTCAATCCCCAGTTCCGGAAAAAAAAAAAAAAAAAGAAATCAGCTAGGGCTGCAAAGTAAGCTCAAGGCCAGCCTGAACTGCACGTTGAATTAAAAATAAAAATAAAGGGCCACTGAGTTAGCTCATCATACTAAGGGTCGTTTAGGCAAGTGTAAGGATCAGGGTTCGATCCCGGGCACCACCTGCTGCGCAGGCCCTGCCCCTGGGCACACTGGGTGGGCCACCAAAACTAGGCATGGTGGTACACACCTGTAATCCCAGTGCTAGGGAGCTCAAAACTGGAGGATCACTATGAGTCTGAGCAGCAAAGTGAGATCATGTACCAAATACATTAAATAAATAAAAAAATGAAGACTGCTGCTACAAACGTGTGTGCATACGTGGCTGTGACAGGATGCTTTTCTTTCAGGAAGATACCAACAAGGGAATATCTGGGTCACACGGAACCTCTAGTTTTAGTTTTTTGAAGACTCTCCACACTGATTTCTACTGTGTATACATACATATATATATTATATATATATATATATCAAATTATATAATGTACTGATAAAATTAATTTTCAAAAGAGAAAAGAGAATGAATGGAAACAAAGGTTTGTAAACAAGGAGGGTGAAAGAGGGGTAGAGGGGAGGGGAGGGGCGGGGGAAAGAAGAGGACCGGGCCAGACAGGTGCAAATCCCTATGATGAACGAGGTCATTGTGTAAAATGTGCCCATAAAATGCATCCTTAAAAAATAAAATACTTCTCTCAGGATGTCAATGAGTCGCTCAGGCTGGCCCCCATCTTGGAACCCTTCTTCCTTGGTCTCTCAAATAGCTCAATTGCAGGTATGTGCCGCGGCTGGTGCTACGTGAATCTGCCTCTGCCGTAATCTGCAGAATTCCAGGAACTGCGGATCACGCTCTCAGCCCCATCAGCGGGCTTACGTGGAGCCGCCTCTGTGCCCCATCTCTTCTTCCCAGAAAAATGCCACTGTTCCTGCCAGCTTCACAGTTGTATAGCCTCCAAGCAGCCCGCTCTGAACTATTTTCAGTGAGTGATCCCGCTCTTCCTAAGGAAACAAAATAAATACAATTGAAAAGAGACAAAAATATTTCAGATGGTATGATTGTACAAAATAAAAATCATAGGTACTTTTAAATTACTAACAAGAATATTTAGCAATATAGTCAATTACTAAAGCAATACACAAAAAGAACACTTTTTCTAGATGCAATTAAAAATGAACCATGCAAAAGCAAAACTTTGGAAGCTATTGAGTGTAATGGTTGATACACTGTGTCAACCTGAGAGGTACAAGTCTAACTAAGCAACTCAGTAGGGGTCCGGGCCTGGCTTTGTGACCATCCTCAGCCTGTGCCAGCGGAGCGCAGGGGGAGGTGGGTGCTGCACCCACCCTAGGGGTGGGGGGACATCCTGCTTACAGCAGAAAGGAGAGGAGGCTTGTTCGTGGAGTCCTCTGTTGCCATGTGCTGCTGTCTTAGAGCCAGCTGATTGTGGACTGAACCCTCCACAACTGTGAGCTAAATAAACCTTTCCTTCCTTAATTTTGGGTATGGGGCATTTCGTCCCTGCAAGGACAGATAAATAACCAAGACCCTGAGCATGATTGATGTGGAGATAGCTCTGCGCATTTCATGGGCACATTCCAGTGAGTTTGGGGACAAGCACATGCAGAGAAGCTGTCACCATAAATACATCCATCACTTCCCAAAAGCCTCCTCCCATGCTCTATTACTCTTGAGTTTTGCGATTTTGTGTGAGTTTTTGTGTGTTTTGTGTTGTGATTCAAAAAAGAATGAGTTTATTCTTTTTCAAATCAACCCTCTCAGCAATCTGCAGTATTGAGTACAGTATCATGAGCTACCAGCACTGCGCTGTGTAACTCTACAATCCCACCTGTTTGCACAGCTGGAACTCTGCAGCTGGAACTGACACCTTCCATTTCTCCCTCCCTCATCCCCTGGAAACCATCAGCTGGATTATTTTAGATGCCAGATTTCGGGGAGATCAGAGCTTGTCATTCTCTGCGTGTGGTACATTTCGATTAGTAGAACACAATCTAGATCCTTCTGCATTGTTCAAATGTCAGTTTTCTTCTATTTAAAGGCTGAATTGGGTGCTGGGGATGTAGCTTAGAGGCACAGCACTTGCCTGGCAAGCACACGGTCCTGAGTTCAAATCCCAGTACAAAAAAATGCTGCACTGCCAGGCGTGGTGTTGCATGCCTCTAACCCCAGCACTGTACAAAATGAGGCTGAAGGATTGCTATGAGCTTAGGCAGCCTCAAGCAAAACAAAACAAAAAGGCTGAATCGTATTCCATAGTATGTTTTTCTTTTTCCCCCCCCCCGGGACCAGGGATCTAACTCAGGCCCTTGTGCTTGCCACAGAAGTGCTTATTCCACTGAGCCATCTCCCTGGCCCCTCCATGCCCTCTTCCTAGTCCTCCTTCTCCCCTTCCCCAGTCCACTTTTAATGTTACTTTTCTTCCAAAGTCAAAAGGATTCGTGGCTCTCTCCTCCTGGCTCCCTCTACTTCGTTCTCCACTACTCT